CATTTTTTTAAAATAAAAATGAAAAATAAATACTAATAAATAATGTATAAAAAGGGTTACAATAACTTTAAGTAATAAATAACATGGTAGTTAGTTTCCTTAGATTTCTGGGATACCTGATCATAAAACTTCATCATAATAAGGAATTTCTAGTAAGCATGTCAATATCTCTGCCAATTTATAAACACCATTTGTAATGATTTTAAAACATGTCATCAATCAGGGTGTAACTTTTTTCTTCAGAATAGAAGTCTAGTAAATCTTGTCTTAAAATATCACCATCATTGTATTCTAATTTTGAAATAAAAAATGTAAGAGTAAGAAATATGTTTGAAAAGGTAGATAATGGAAATGCAAAAAATAGTAAAATAAATGTGCATAAAAATACATAGAAATGCATAGAGGTAAGGGTAAAAAAATATGTGTGAAATGAGATGCATTAGTGTAGAAATTCAAGATCCACTTCAGTTACAAAGGTGATAACTAAAAGTGAAACTTCATTTTCAAGAGGTTCACAGATCATCATTTAGGTTTGTAATAAAGCAATGTCATAATTGAATCCTCATAAAGAAATAGTAGACCTTTGTGATTGAAATGTACTTAAGCTACTACACTATACCATGAAACACTTCCACGAAAAAAAGATAAAACACATTATTTCTTCACTTACTTGTTGACATAAATGATCACTATTAAAATAACTACACTAAATATAGCATAACAAGCTATTTTTAATAGAATATTATTTAATAAATTGTCTTGGAAATCTATAAATTAATAAGAATTAGTAAGATAACATTAAAAAGAAGACAAAAATGAAATTTATAATAACATTTGAGCTAAGGTCAAATATCATTTCCTAATACATCACTAGGTGATGATGATAATAGTAATAGTGATATATTTCATAAGACTGAACGATCCTATCGTTATCCAATAAAAAAGATCGCATACTACTTCATAATCAAGAAATCCTATATGTAAAGCTTCAACGAATAATCACGTCTAAAATGCAATCTTAACCATACCTTTTAAGAATTCATTCTAGACGTCAACCATTAGATGATGGAATGAAAACTACTTTCCTCTTCCTTGTCAGACCTTTCAGATCTATAGAAAATAATGGAAAAATAATCCCATACAAGTCGTCACCGTCAAAGAGTCGATTACTACAATGGTGTGATAAGTGTACTTAAAATAAGAGAAAGTTTTTTTTATTGATTAGAGATGCTCTGAAACTCTAAGTAATTCAGTGACGCATGTGTTCTAAATAAGTTCATGAGAATATATTCTAATAAAACCTGATTACACATGGGTATCAATCAAAGAATGTCTAGAATACCACTGAATAACTAATGCATGAGGTGTAAGCATGGGTATGAAACTTACCTTATGATTGATGTTCGATGCTAACACAGAAAATCTTTCTTTGGTTATCATCATCGTCATCAGAAAAGTGTTGTAAGGTCGATGAATCATGTACAAAGTGTAAACAAGTTATGAATCTTAATAAAGTTCGTTTCACTTTTTTTGTTGTTTGTACTAAAATATACAAAGTGTTGGAAGAGAGGATATAATTGTAAAGTTTTTTTAAAAAAGTA